AAAAGAAGGCGACGGGGAAATACCAGCGGAACTTCATTCAAAGTGGCTTTAAAGATAAGTTTGACGCTTAAAGAAGGGCGGGGGTTGAAACTGCAGATGAAATCTGGCCAGTACTTTTGGTCTCATTATTAATACATGAAGCCGTAGTCGTTTTCTGTGTTAGGAAGACTCGTTGTGACACCTTGGAAATCCCAAACAAACCGTGATTTTTCCCTGTGCTCACAGGAGGACTGTATGCACGCAGATGCTGCGGGGCTGCGTTCCCTGCTTTTCCAAACTCTTGATCAATCTGTGTCAGGGCTTATGAACACAAAGCGCTGCTGACCCAGGCCAGTCTCCTCTAACAGCCACAGTGCGCTGAGCTTCCATGGGCAGAAATTACTGCACATAACATAGGACACCCCGGAATCGGTCCTTGGTATTAACATTTTTGTTTATATTAATAAAAGCTGTATTTTTTATTCCATTATATTTATTTAATCTTTGACATCTAGGCTCTGGGTCAGTTTGCTCTTTATAACAGCACATTTCTTCTTCAGTTTTGTTTCTATATTTAGAGGACTCATGCTCAGAAACAAGATTTTTTGTTTAATTTTTTTCCCCCTAGTATATTTAATCTAGCTCAGGGGTTTTGGTGTTTCTCTGCAACCTATAATTTACTCTGCCAACTCAGATACTGTATTGCTGATTTTACCACAGTTAAAGAAACACTGTCAAGGCCTTTTCAAAGGTTATTTCAGTCTTCAGCATGTTCTTTGCTCTCTCATATGCAGTCCACATTAGTAAAATATAGCCATTTTGACTGCAAATAATATAATTTTTCTCTCTGTCTTTTCTCCAATCATTTTTCCTCTTGGTTTTGGCAATGGAGCTGAAGCAAATAGGCCCTTCGCTGACAATCCAGTATGCAACTATCTGGATGTCAGCAAATGCAGCGAGCTCTGAGAATAGCACATTTGGTTCCTCCAGCGCAAGCGGCGCTCAGGAACACGCAACATCCCCCCAACCCCCCAACAATGGTTATTTATCAGCCACGTCCCCCCACAAAACAACCTTTCCAGTCGTGGTTTGGTTTTCAACATTTTGCAGGCAGTGGGGGCAATGCTGCCTTCCTCCCCAAGACTCTCAAATTTTAACTCAGACAAACTTGGGCTTGGAAAAGTAATGGCCACCCAAAGGGTTTCTTTTGTTCCAGCCTGACTTAAATGGCAAAGATCGCCCGGCTCATTTTCCTGCCTTCGGGGGAACCCTCCTTTCCGTTCGCAAAGACCCGCGTCTGTTCCCATACTGGTGGGAGTAAAAGAAGAGCTCTTCTGGAAGCGGCGGTGGTGTATCAGCATTGCTGAAGACAGAATTGGGCCCAGTGTATCTGACATGCCAGCATAGCAGATCTGCAAGTACAAACTGTATTTAGACATGAAAATCAGGGAGATGCCCAACTATTCAACCTGCCTAGGCAAACGCAGCTTTTCACGCACCCAGAAACGGGTGCTAAAGTCAAGCGGCTACGCTTAAGCCCAGAAAACAGCATGTGATAGTTTTGGAGACTATCTCTGACTCCCTCGCGTTTACAACCATCTTTATACTGCGGATTTATGAGCCCAGAGCTGTGGGTATAATTTTACCCAGCAAGTGTCAGTCCTACACGAGTAAAATGAAAACCTGCCCGTACCCACAAGAGCACAGCACCTCCGGGCTGGGCAATGTCGCACAAGGCCTCGATCAATGTCCATCAATGCTCGACGATAAAGACATAGCCCTTCAGATGGGGAAAAATTAGCCCTTATCAGATTTGCCAGATTGTCCAGGCGATGGGGGATCTGGGATGCAGGCTGACTGCGCTGAAGGGACAGATCACGGAGCACAAAAGCGGTGGAGCTGTGAGGCGCTACTGGTGACCCAGCTTTTGGAATGTGGAGTCGCTGCTTTAATACGCAGTAAAACAACGGCAAGAAGCTCACGCCGGGTCTGCGTCCCAGCGGCTGCTCTCTTCCCTCCCCATGTTGCCCTCTGCTACAAGGATCAAATTTCATGGTTTATTGTTCGCCCTCCAACTGGCCACCATCCACATTCTTCTGCTGTACAAAGCTGCACCTCTTGCTCCAAAGAAGAGAGCACTATGCCTTCTTTTTATCAATTTTAGGCACATTTACACACACACACACACACACAGAGTAAGGGGATGACTTTTAAACACTCAACAGCATTCCAGGGAATGGTGTTATTTTTCTTTGAGCACATTTCTGTGAATGAGGCTAAAAAAGGCAATTTTCCACCAGAAGGGTACTAATTTTTGAAGATGCAGAAGCTGTCTCCCCTGTCTCCTGAATCTTTTTAACATTTTGCCTTTTAATGAAACAACTGCTCTATGCTTGAAAAGTCCTATTCATCACCTGCCTCGGGAGAGAATTGGCACCGAGATCCACAAGGCTCACGTTCAGCTCCGTGTACACTGCTGGAAATCAAAACCACAGTCACTGGAGCTGCTTTGCTATAATGGAGTAGAATTGGTACACAGCAGGTCGGGTCCAAAATTTCAGTATCAATATCTCAATGTAAATAGGAAATCTGTTGCAGACAAATAACAGATCTATGTGCTAATTCAAAGAAACGTAGCAGGTATCCCAGACTTATAAGGCTTCCTACCTAGAATATTTTTTCCATGTCATTTTTCCCTTAATACAGCACTCAGGATCCATTTTCTTCCATGAGATTTGCAGTAAAGTTATCAAAACCTAACAAAATGTTCCACTCCTGAACATCCACCATCTTTCTTCGGCAGCTCGACAGACTGTGAAACTGAAGCACTGTCATCTGGCATATAATTATTGTAATAAGTCTTACTTGTAAAACGAGGGAGGCACCACAAGCTTACCTAACTTGTCTGAAAATGTAAAATGCTCATCACCTGTAATCATCGTCCTAACTGTCCTTGATCCTTACTGATAGTCGCCAAATGATAACAACTCTCTCTGATGGTGAGAATCAGCTAAAAAATGCAGCACAGGCAGAGCACTAGGAAGGTTGCTGGAAGAGGGGCTATTTTGGCCAATTAAAGAGACTCACTGCAGGAATTTTTCTCCCCCTCCCCCCCC